GTTAGCTCCCCAGTCTTCAGGAGTTTACTGAAACCCCGAAGATAATAACTGACGCGTGTGTCATCCTTCCTATACACAGCCTTGAATGAGATGTCTGTCATAACCTCACCATCACAGTGGAAGAAGTCTGACATACGTTTCACCTCCAGCCAGCTCTCATTGTTAAATTGTGTGACGAGACCTTGTACCGCATCATCCTCTGAGGCATATTCAGTGAGGTATTTCCATGCCTGCTGTGACGTCAACTCAGCTGCCATATCTTTGGGTGCTGACTGCAGCTGCAGTGGCAACAGGGCCACCTCCGTGACCCCATTTCCAACAAATTCTTCTTCTGTTGCCATCACTTCATGTCCTGGTGTCTGTACAATCACAATGCCACTGTCAAAGCCTAGCTCGCTGATACCGCCATCTTCAGCTTCACTGTTTGAGGATGTGTTTTGGGGCTCCTCTGGGGTCTCTCTCTTGAAGATTCTCTGGGGGTCAACAAGAGGTTTGGTGTGTGAAGAACCTGGAAGGACTCTCTTCCTGCCCCGAAGCACCCTCCTACCTCGCCCCGCTGGTCTTCCTCGTCGCGGCTTGGCTGGCTGCTCCTCTACTTGCTGCATCGACTCTCCTTGCACTGGGGAAACAGGCACACTCTCCTTGTCTGGATACAAGCTTATCACAGTGATGGGGACCTTTCTACCATTCTCCTCCCGAAAAGACTTTTCCTTCTTAGCTGTGAGGGGCTCTGTGACCTTGGAGAGTGCACGGTACTGCTCAATGGCACTCCTGGGGATGTCCACTTGGTCATTTGCACCAAAACTGATTGTCACAACTTCCTCCTTGTTACTGGGAGATGGTGGACAGGCATCAGTGCCATCGCTAATGCTACCTGGGTCACAGGGTGGGATAATACCAGGGATTTTTGCCATGGCCTTGACCATCTCTGCACCACTCAGCTCCTGCCCGGCACCATCCCGCATCACAAACTTGACTTGCATTAGCTTAGTCCTCAGTACCTCCTTCTCCTCTCCGTCCTGCACTAGCTTGGCTTTCTCCACAGCAGCCTTTAACGGTCCAAAATAGTTTGTTTTTTTGCGGTACTCATCCACAACCGACCTGCTCAGGTGGATAACATTCTCACCGTCATTGACATATATCACAGAGTCACTTCTGTGCCGGGACTTGGGTTGTGTCTCCTTCAGGCTCAGGACGATCTCCTCCTTGGTTGGTGATGACTTGTAGACGGCTACCATGGCGTCATCTAGGTTGAAAATGAAATGCTGCTTGAACAGGGTGGATATAGGGACAATACTTTGCCTAAACCTACTTATGTCTCCCAGTGTCTGTTAGCAATATCCAATGAGTTATTACGAGAAGTGCTTAAAACATATGAAAAAAAAAAAGACTTCTCCTAGACAAAAGGACTGTTTAATTATCAAAACTATGAGCTTACATAAAAAAAAATCATACAAATATTCTCTGACAATAAGATAGATATGGCTCATTGAATTTGAAAAGAAAAGTTGTACAGTATGTCACAATTGGAATAGAATAAAAGTAGGTCTATTTGTTATGTATGTGTGTTTTCATGTGGGCATGCATACATACATATATGTGTGAATGTGTGTGGTGTGTGTATGCGGATGTGGTGTGTGCATGCATGTGTGGTGTGTGCGTGCGTGTGTGGTGTGTGCGTGCATGTTTGGTATGTGTAGGCATGCGTGCGTGCGTGTGTGATTGTGGTGTGTGTGTGTGCTTGTGTGGTGTGTGTGTGTGCATGCATGTGTGGTGTGTGCACGCGTGTGTGGTGTGTGCACGCGTGTGTGGTGTGTGCATGCGTGTGTGGTGTGTGCATGCGTGTGTGGTGTGTGCATGCGTGTGTGGTGTGTGCTTGCATGTGTGGTGTGTGCTTGTATGTGTGGTGTGTGCTTGCGTGTGTGGTGTGTGTGGTGTGTGAGTATGCATGGTGTGTGTGTGTGTACATGTGTGGTGTGTGCATGCATTAGCATATGTGTGGGTTGTGCATGTGGGTGTGGTGTGAGCATGTGTGTGAGGTATGTGCTTGTTTGGTTTGTGCATGTGTGTTTGCTTGCTTGTGTGTGAGGTATGTGTGTGTGTGTGTGTGTGTGTGTGTGTGTGTGTGTGTGTGTGTGTGTGTGTGTGTGTGTGTGTGTGTGTGTGTGTGTGTGTGTGTGTGTGTGTGTGTGTGTGTGTGTGTGTGTGTGTGTGTGTGTGTGCATGCATGTGTGGTGTGTGCATGCATGTGTGGTGTGTGCATGCATGTGTGGTGTGTGCATGCATTAGCATATGTGTGGGTTGTGCATGTGGGTGTGGTGTGAGCATGTGTGTGAGGTATGTGCTTGTTTGGTTTGTGCATGTGTGTTTGCTTGCTTGTGTGTGTGTGTGTGCATGCATGTGTGGTGTGTGCATGCGTGTGTGGTGTGTGCACGCGTGTGTGGTGTGTGCGTGCATGTTTGGTATGTGTAGGCATGCGTGCGTGTGTGGTGTGTGCATGCATTAGCATATGTGTGGGTTGTGCATGTGGGTGTGGTGTGAGCATGTGTGTGAGGTATGTGCTTGTTTGGTTTGTGCATGTGTGTTTGCTTGCTTGTGTGTGTGTGTGTGCATGCATGTGTGGTGTGTGCATGCATGTGTGGTGTGTGCATGCATGTGTGGTGTGTGCATGCATGTGTGGTGTGTGCATGCATGTGTGGTGTGTGCATGCATGTGTGGTGTGTGCATGCATGTGTGGTGTGTGCATGCATGTGTGGTGTGTGCATGCATGTGTGGTGTGTGCATGCATGTGTGGTGTGTGCATGCATTAGCATATGTGTGGGTTGTGCATGTGGGTGTGGTGTGAGCATGTGTGTGAGGTATGTGCTTGTTTGGTTTGTGCATGTGTGTTTGCTTGCTTGTGTGTGTGTGTGTGCATGCATGTGTGGTGTGTGCATGCATGTGTGGTGTGTGCATGCATGTGTGGTGTGTGCATGCATGTGTGGTGTGTGCATGCATGTGTGGTGTGTGCATGCATTAGCATATGTGTGGGTTGTGCATGTGGGTGTGGTGTGAGCATGTGTGTGAGGTATGTGCTTGTTTGGTTTGTGCATGTGTGTTTGCTTGCTTGTGTGTGTGTGTTGTGTGTGTGTGTGTGCATGCATGTGTGGTGTGTGCATGCATGTGTGGTGTGTGCATGCATGTGTGGTGTGTGCATGCATGTGTGGTGTGTGCATGCATGTGTGGTGTGTGCATGCATGTGTGGTGTGTGCATGCATTAGCATATGTGTGGGTTGTGCATGTGGGTGTGGTGTGAGCATGTGTGTGAGGTATGTGCTTGTTTGGTTTGTGCATGTGTGTTTGCTTGCTTGTGTGTGTGTGTGTGCATGCATGTGTGGTGTGTGCATGCATGTGTGGTGTGTGCATGCATGTGTGGTGTGTGCATGCATGTGTGGTGTGTGCATGCATTAGCATATGTGTGGGTTGTGCATGTGGGTGTGGTGTGAGCATGTGTGTGAGGTATGTGCTTGTTTGGTTTGTGCATGTGTGTTTGCTTGCTTGTGTGTGTGTGTGTGCATGCATGTGTGGTGTGTGCTTGTGTGTGTGGTGTGTGCATGCATGTGTGGTGTGTGCATGCATGTGTGGTGTGTGCTTGTGTGTGTGTGTGTGCATGCATGTGTGGTGTGTGCATGCATGTGTGGTGTGTGCATGCATGTGTGGTGTGTGCACGCGTGTGTGGTGTGTGCATGCGTGTGTGGTGTGTGCATGCATGTGTGGTGTGTGCTTGTGTGGTGTGTGTGTGTGCATGCATGTGTGGTGTGTGCATGCATGTGTGGTGTGTGCATGCATGTGTGGTGTGTGCATGCGTGTGTGGTGTGTGCACGCGTGTGTGGTGTGTGCATGCATGTGTGGTGTGTGCATGCATGTGTGGTGTGTGCATGCATGTGTGGTGTGTGCATGCATGTGTGGTGTGTGCATGCATGTGTGGTGTGTGCATGCATGTGTGGTGTGTGCATGCAGTAGTAATAGTAGTAGTATAAAACTATTGACAACAATAAAAATTCTAATAATAATGCAAATGATAATAATAATAATAATGATAATAATAATAACAACAATAATTATTAGAATCATAACAAAAAATAATATTATAATGATAATGATAATGACAATGACAAACATTAATAATAATATTAATAATCATAATCATAAAAATTTTAATGATGATGATAATGATGATGATGCTAATGATAATAATAATAATAATAATAATAATAATAATAATAATAATACTGCCTGCTTACCCTTTTATTTAATTTGCAAAAATATTTTACATTATCCTATTTTGCTAATGTTTATAACATTACAGTAATTATAATGTTTATAATAAAAATAACACCATCAATATTCATAGCACTAGGAAAAAATACATATTCCTGTCAATTCAAGGAGAGGTGAAATCAGGTAAGGCAGAGCTATCTATGTAGTGACATTTCACAAAAAAAAATATAAAAAATGTGCACAGCATTTTCCCCTTTTTTTATTCATTCTCCCCGGCAGCAATGGGTTAAAAAAGAAAGTAAATAAACAAAAAATGATAACAAGAATAACAACTGCTCTGATGATGATAATGATATTAACCCATTGCCGCCGGGGATGGCATGTACGTACATGCCATGCCCACTGTGAGTCGACTTGATTGATTGTTTTTACACATAGATGGCTACACTTGTACTAAGTATCCAATGAGCCAATTACAAGTACTGCCTGTCTCGCCCGTTCACCCTTTTCATCGATTTACAAAAATATTTAACGTTATCCTAATTTGCTGTTAAAAATAACACCATCTATATTTATAGCACAAGTAAAAATACGTTTTTTCCCGCCAATTCAAGGAAGGTCAGGACTAGCAGAGCCATCTATGGACAGATATATTTCACAAAAATATAAAAAATGAGTACTGCATTTCCCCCATTTTTTGTTCATTTTCCCCGGCGGCAATGGGTTAATATCAATTACAA